ACGTCGACGTTATTACGGGCCCGGAGTAGGGTCTGGGGGAGAGCACCGGTTCGAACCGGTGGCACCTGATGTAGAACCGCCATTTCATATCTACTACTTCCTTCTTAAATGAAGTATGCAAAATATGGGAAAATACTACTGGAACAAAATCCGCAGAGGTATCCTTTCCGTCTACTCGATCCTTTAATGCTACAAGCCCTAAGAACATTTCTCTTCCTCGGGGTTGTTGAACAATCCACTGGTAATTCAAATTTACAGTTCTCGGTGTGAATAACAACATTTTGAGCATGAAAATACTTGAATTCCAAAGCAACAATCGCAATATTGTTTCTAATCATATAGAAATATACGCATGCCCTGTAGAGTCTTGACTACACCGCTGTGATTCAAGAGGCGAAAATACACATTGTCATAGAATAACGATATGTCAATAATGAATAATGAATATAATGGAATAGGGATAGGGAACTCGGAAAAATTTTTATTCTATTATTTTCATTAGTTCAAAATATTCTAATTCTCATCATACCAAACCATGTAGTTGGGGTTCCTGTGGAAGACTCTTGCGCATATCATCTAACAAGAACGCTGCTGATCCAATGTTACATAATAAACAGAGTAAGAAAACACATGTAACAGCTAGTAGTTTTTTGTCATCACTATAGTAGTCGTAGACTTTACTTGGCTATACAAATTCAATACTTAATAAATGACTTTGATTCGCAATGTCTTTGCATTGGCCAGTCCGGCAGTAGTCGTATTTTCGTCGTGTGCCTTATGTTCGGCTCCTGAACCAAAGTTCAAAGAGCAATCAAAGTTTTCTTCGAATGGTCTGGTCAGATGTGGACGTACCGTTTTGACTGTGAGTATTAGGAGTTTTTTTAGAAAATTTATGGTATTTTTGGGTGGATATAACATCTTCAACTCATTAAATTCAATTTATAAAAATAGTTTGATGTCTATTGCATTTGAAACCTTACTTTATTATAAGTTCCTCCCCTTGATAAAACTAAATGGATCTTCGAGAGGCAAAATGTAGTATTGACATTCCATTACTTCCTATACCACAGTACAATTTGTTTTAATAATACATACTTAAGTAAGTCACCTAAAACAAACCTCTAGGCTTATCTAAGTCAGGCAACTAACTCACAGATTAAGCCATGAAACAACCTCTGGAGTGATCAAAATCAACTAGTGCATGGGTAACTCACAGATGGAATTAGAATTTAGCTTATTAGTTTGGTAACCTCTTGCTCTCCTGGCAAGACATTTCAATTTAGGGAAGCACCGGTGGCGTGCGATGCTAATGCGCCACCTCTCACCAATGTGGTGCCGATCTCGATGTCGTATGTGAGTAGTGTTGTTTGTTTGTTCTCTCCTGTGCTTCAAGGGTTTTTCTCCAGGTTCCCCGGTTTTCCTCCGTCCTCAAAAATCTACTTCTTAATTCTAATTCAATCTTTGGGCTTTCACTTAGTTTGGAGCCTAGCTGCACTGTCTCATTGATCAGTTTTCCATATTTTACCCTTCCGATCATCCCTTTCCCATCCATTCCCTTGCCAACCACTCCTGGACATAGAAACAAAGGTAGTTTACTTTGACTTATGTACAGGTGATCTTGATAAGTTATGATTACAAAAAATCTCTATGGGGTGTAGAAAGAAATGGACCAGAATACAAACAGTTGATGTCAAAGGTGAGTAGCTGAACATTATTTGACTTTTTGACTTTTTAACAGTAGACCCCTTGCAGCACGTTGGATTGAAGCTCAATTTGGAGGACATAACAATAGTTTTTCATTTCTCTTGAGATTGAAATTCTTTTGTTTTGTCCCCCAAATTGAGCTGCTTTGACATCACATGCAAGGGGTCTATTAATTAAAGCCTAATGTTATATAGGGAATAGGCTACCTGTGTCATATATCTGGCTGCTAAGACTGGGACTAGGTCATCACATATTTTGCCATCATTCAATTTGAAGAACCGATAATAAAACTTTGAGAAATGGATAAATTACTATCTATGATCGAGAAATGAAATAAGATAACAACAAAGAAGTCACAAACTCTAAGTTAACAGCTGGGTATATATGACACACTCGGGTATATTTAGTGCAGGCTCTATGATTCAATATGCTGTATTAAATATGATATCTGCAAATATCTGCAGATTCACTGGTGTTCAGCAGCAAGACTCCGTGAATTGTGCTGTGCAAATGGTGGCATCTACATCAAAGGGGCACAATACATTGGTGCTCTAGACTTCTTATTACCCTATGAATATGTCAAGACTATGAAAGTATTTCACAGTGATGCCCCTCAAAGCACTTTAAAAGATGTGTACAAAGTCCTAGAAGAAGATCTTGGTCAGACACCATCAGAGTTGTTTTCTAGTTTTGATCCAGTCCCTCTGGGAACTGCATCGTTAGCGCAGGTGCACAAGGCCACAATGCATGATGGTAAAGTAGTGGCTGTCAAAGTCCAACATAAGGATATACAAGAACATGTCTCTGTGGATATATATACTATTGAGGTATTTTCCTTTTGAAAAAATTCAACTTTGTGCATAGAGGATAACACTGAAAGTAAGTTAACTGATGAATTTCTGGTCCTCTGTTAATGTCTGTGGTTAATTAGGGGCAGGACCGCCATTAACGTGGTCATCCGAGCCACATGAAGGTCTAATCATTTTCAGATATGATTACAAAGGCAGCACCTTCTCATCAGTTTTTTTAAGACCCTGAGTTTTGGTCCAGCCAAGGCTTGAACCATGACCTCCCACAGTAACAGACCAACACTCTTACCAACTGAGTCAACCAGTTGGCGGTTAAAGATATGGAGGGTTGTTGATTTCTATACATGCCTTCTCTTTAACACATTTTGGTTTTTCATTGCAGTTATTAACTAAAGCTGTATCATGGATATTTCCTGAATTTCGGTTTAAGTGGCTCATAGATGAGACCAAAAGAAATCTTCCATTGGAGATGGATTTTCTGCATGAAGGACGAAACTCTGAGAAGGTCACAAAAATGTTTAGTAACTGTAAATTCCTTAAGGTAAGTGAATCAATAATATGGGCTGGGAAAACTATCTAGTACAATAGGTTCAAAACTCTAAAAGAATCTGTTTTATTATAAGAAGATATAACTAGCTAAAAACTAGTGTGAGCTGCGTCAGTGTTTCTAATGAAACAGTAATGATAAAAAGGTAAATCATACACCGTGAAAAGATGAAAAAACATTGACGTTTTGGATGCTAGTCCTTCGTCGGAGTAAAAGAGAAAGAAGTGGTAGAAAGGAGTGTTTATATAATGAGAATAAGACAAAAGATTTGCATAGCTGGAAATAGTATTCAAGGGAGAAAAACCTGAAAACAGAGGCACCTAAACTGGTTTATGAATTAAAAAAAGGGTCTGACTATGGAGTTGATAATGATTCTTGTAGGTGCCCAAGGTATTGTGGAAACTGTCAAGCAAGCGAGTACTCATGATGGAGTTTTGTGAAGGTGGCAAAGTTGATGATCTGGAGTACATGAGAAAACATAACATCTCATCTGATGAGGTGAGTGGCTACATCTACAGGAATGGCGGAACCCACAAAATATTGGTTCTCTGTCATAGTTTTACAGCACATGCTTCTGCAATCAAACAAAACAGCGGTCAATATCACATAGCGTTATAATATAATATTTCAGTGCCCCCCAAAGATTTTCAGCTTCCACCGCCCCTGATCTAACTACCTTCAAATTTCATGCAACCTCTTGGCTGATCAAAGTCAGGGCACAGTCTGCATACCAGGCCCTTGTCCTGGGGACTGGGGAGGAGGAGGGGTAGGAATGCAGACTTACAAAATCCCCTAAGAGCCTACTACTGGTATGCAGGCTAAGCCAGGGCATGGATATTAACTCAGAGGCATATTTACCTAACTTTGAATTTTATGCAACCTCTGGATCGATGAAATTCAGAGGATGTAACATCACAAATCTAATTGAAAATTTGCACATTTGGTGGGAGGAAAACCCAGCAGAACCCAGAGAAAAAGCCTTGAATCAAGGGAAAGACTGTCAACCTCTACTCACATGTGATGCCGAGTTCAGAGATCATGTAGCCAATCAGTAGATGGGGCAATGTGATTGTTATTAGTAATACAGGTGCATTAGGTTTGATTAATTAATCATATTGTGTAATTAATTAATTATGGTGGTACTGCCGTTTGTATTACTACGCAGCTACCCCAGACACAAATCGAGTCGTGTAGTTTGCAATAGACTGCCATCAATCATTCATGTTGACGCCATTTATACACGTTTGGATCAGTGAGTTGGCTTTTCTATCAAACTTTCTCAGTCAGATATCACGAAAGAAAGTTCAGAAAGCGATTGCAAAGAGTTTGAGTACATCCAAGTAGAATGAGGTGTTTTATTGACGGCAGTCTATTGCAAACTACACAATGCGATTTGTGTCTGGGGTGGCCACGTAGTAATACAAACAGCGGTAAATTTACATTACCTTTCTTAGGTTTCCAAACGAATCGGTGAGCTATACAGTGAGATGATATTTGTGACTGGTTATGTGCACTGTGATCCTCACCCTGGAAATGTTCTGGTCAAGAAGGATTTGAATGATAAAGTAGAGATAGTCTTACTAGACCATGGTCTGTATCAGGTAATCTATCCTTCCCTTCCATCCCATTCCAACCAACCATTCATTTATACCTTCATCCATCCATCCATTCATCCATCCATCCATCCATCCGTCCATGCCTCCATCTATCCTTGCATCCTTTCATCCCTCCATCCATCCATCCATCCGTCCATGCCTCCATCTATCCTTGCATCCTTTCATCCCTCCATCCATCCATCCATCCATGCATCTCTCCCTCCATCCATTTACATATATACATGCAGCCACCCGTCCATCTATTCATCTATCCCTCCCTCCATTTATTCACCCATCTATTCCCCCAGCAGTTGCACTTACTTTTGTCTTTATCTCTGACCAGAGTGAAATACCAGCTTTTCTCTCCCCCCCTTTTTTTTCATCCCACAGCAACTAAGTGATGATTTCCGTGTCAAATACTGTAAGTTATGGCAGTGTCTAATAGCATCAGATGTAGAGGGCATCAAGCAGTACAGTAACGAGATGGGAGTAGGAGATCTCTATGGATTATTTGCCTGTGTGTTGACATCACGTGCCTGGAGTGTAGTAACTTCTGGGATTGATGCCGGACCTATGACTGAAGAAGAAGTAAGTGTATCATAGTTTTAGTTTTGTCATGTTTTGAAACGATTAGGGCCTTAGGGCGTTTGACTAGTAACCTCAAACGACGCTCTCTTGAACAGCTCATGTAAGACACAGGCCAGTCAACAGTGTAACCTTCTAGTGTGACTGGTGTGACTGCAGTGGCCAGTCAATAGGTTGCTATCAATAGACGTCACTTCCGGTAATAGCT